GGACTCCCTTCTTTTCCGCCTCTTAAGCATACATCGTATAAAAAATCGTATAAAAAAAAAAAAAAAAGAAAAAACCAACCTCATCTCTGGGAGCTTATACTAATTTTAAGAAAATTCAAATTGACAAATGGCTTAAAATGAACTTTTCTTATGGTATATGGATTAAAAAGCGTCTAACGACAGCAATATACCTATTACACCATTTGCCTATTATAACTAAACCAAAGAGTTACAGACCTAATCAATAATCCTGAACAACCAGTTTACCATCGGTAAAAGAGAGATGAAGAAATTGAATTTATTTATGAAAAACAACACTGTGATTTTGCATAATTTATAAGAATCGGTAGGAATCAATGCTTTTCTTGAAACTGTGTTTTTGAAGTCGGTTGGCAAGATTTCTCGAGGACTACTCAACCGTCTTCATGAAATTTTACACAGGTCTATGAGATACAATTCTTAAAGGCTTGGACGAAGAATTTTTTTTTTTCGTTTACAACTATTAGACAAAAAATTTCGCGAAATTTTCACTAGAATTTTCAATTTTTTGTAAAAATGTCTGCCCAAAATTAAATTTTTAGTGTTTTCCCTTCATCCAAGTTCTAAGTTAAGGCTTTCACTTAGGTTTTCACGCTTATTTTTTGACTTAAAATTATCTTGTATGGATTTATGCTCCCACATTTTTTTTTTTACAAAAATTTCAGAATTTCGCTGCTAATAATGTATGCTTGTAACAATAAAAAATTGGAATAAAATATTTAATATTTTATATGAGAAAAAATTGTTTCTTTTTTTTCGAGGAAATCCATGTACGAATGATTCAATAAATATAAATTCAGAAAGTAAAAGCTCGCTTAATAAGATTCAATCGGCGAAAGCCAAATACAAGTATAGCTATTTGATTTCTATCACGTACGTATTATGGATTCTTCAATGAAATACTGTTTCCGAAAGTACTTGTATACATACATATATTGGGTCGTTCACTAAGTAATTTCGTTTGATGAAAACAGCTGATTTCCTTAAATTTTATCACAGACAACTTCACACTTAACAGTTTTACCGATATATGTATATTTGAAGAGCTGTTATAGTAAGTCTTGTTTGTAAAAAAATTCTTAAAATTTGTCGAATAGTTTCTAATTGGTGTCCTATCGCAGATCAACGATCGAAAATATCATTTTTGGGATATTTTACTGTTTTATCACAAGGGAAAACATGCAGTTCAAGCAAAGCAAAATTTATGTGATGTATATGGCAAAGATATGTTGACCGAATGTTAATACCAAAATTAGTTTGAAAAATTTCTTTCCATTATTATTTCTAAGGTCTATTGTGATCAGCTGAACTAAGAGAGCGACGCGCTCCAACAGAAGAAGGCAGAATTGAACAATAGAAAGGGTATAGTGTTCATACAATTTTGATGACTGGCCAAAAGCTTTTTCAGCTTGAAGGGGATATGCTACCGCACTCACCATATTTTCCAGAGTTAGTAACTGCAGACTATCACTTGTTGCGGTCTCTGCAAATATTTTGAGATGAGAGAACCTTCAATCCAAATCAGGGCGTTAAAAAATATCTGCACCAGTTTTCTGCCTGCAAGGATAAGAAATTATGCGAGAAAGGATAAGATCCACAAGAAGCCTGAAGGTATTGCATCAAAATGGATAAAATATAATATCCAAAAATTTTTTACACAATAAAAAATCGTTTTTAAATCGCACTAAATAAAAGGAAAATCCTTAGTGAACGACCCAATATCAGTGTTAAATATCCATGTCTAAAGTAAATACATTTATATATGTATGTATGTGTCAATGCAGAATATGGCAGGGTGTTGCACTAAAATGCAAGGTCGGCTCCAAAGTGCAAACAACACGTTGTTGGGCTTCGGATACTAGCTAGTCATCGCTTAATTTATTACCCATGTAAATTAATACAATAATAAAACCAACAAAATAAACAATTGCAAAATTCAGGAATTCAAGTTTTTCATAATTATTTTTGTTTTATGAAGTCATTTACTGCTCTTTGAGACTGAAAAACTTTACAAAGTTCGAATATAATTTCTAAGAGCTCCAATTTTTGGAGTACACGCAATTTAATTATGATATAATTCAAGGAATACGCTTTTTTTTGCTTAGTCTATTCAGAACTGACTAAAACCGGATAGCTCGTAATACCTTGTTTCTATGTGGACATGCTTCCACCCAATGATCTCTGTGAGTTTTAATGTTGTTTTACGGACGTCAGACCAAAGTCTCATGAAAAAATTAGAGAGAGATGATTCATTAAAGATTATCGGTCATTATATTTAAAATCTCTTCAATTTGAAGTCAAAACTTTGCGTTTAAAAATATTATTGATACCCCTGGATATTGTTGGAGTGGACATAGAAGGTTCTTCATCTCTATTTGAAATACATGTATATGTTTGAGTTTACTCCATAAGAAGTAGAAGAAACTAGGATCGGAGGATCAGATTGTTCATTGAATATTGCTTGCTGCTTCTTGAATATCGATTTTCTTCTGCGATGGTAGAGGATTCTTCAACCTTCTTGAAATAATTTTTTGCGGTTCCAAATTTCTTCGTAAGCAGTAGATGAAACTGCTAAATCATTTAAATTACCTATCGCATCTGGCATATTGATATTTTTTAAATGAAGGTGAACTCTCAACCTTCTTGAAAAAATCTGAAATTGTTTGAGCTCTCATTTGGGAAATCTTGAAAAATTGTTTTATAAGTAGTCGAAGAGAAGAGGGTTTGATTACTCATTCACAGCTACCTACGAGCTTCTCTTTGCTAACTTTTTTCTAAGATAATGGAAATGGACTTTGTCTAGATAGAGCTAATGTAGAATTTCATAATATCAGTTTCCCTGTTCTTTCAGGGTTAGTGAAAGGGGTTCAAATGATTATATAAGTTTGCCCTGTTATACAGTTCTAAAACGGCCAGTGTAGTGAATTAGAGTATACTGCACGAGCTTGCACTAGTTTGCATTTCACATTTTGGATCATATGTTGTACACATTGTGACAAATAAGTTCCCGGAAATTGTATTTAAAAATAAAAATATTTGGTTGCTCAATAATATTTAATTTATTACCGTCACAAGTCAGAAAATTAAGTGGAATACAAAGAGCAGCATGGAAAGCATAGTGACATGCTAAGACAACTCAGTGTAAATGCTAATAAATAAAACTACATACTTCCAATGCTGGATTTCAATATGGACTTATATTGTGGTGATACTCTCTAATAAGGCATAATAATAGAGGAGAAAGATATCATCTCAGTCTATTCCGACTAGCACATAATGGATGAAAGTATATTGCGATGATCTGGACATTTCTGTCTCTATCCGTCCACCAAACTCGGCTAGCATCTCCCACGTGGAGAGAGAGAAGGCCTGCGAAGCTCTATTGAATAACTACGAGAGGATACATACAAACAACAATATACACGAACAGCCACGCGGCTCTTCTGGCCTTGTCGTTGCCCATGAGTAATTCTAGCTTAATACATAACGGCAAGAAGACACTGAGCTCACTAGAAAACAAGATCCACCTAGACTTGATCTGCGTTCCCAGCCACAGTAACATTTTCGGTAATGAAAAAGCAGAAGAGTTGGCAAAGGCAGCAGATTTCCTGAACAAATTTGAGGCAGTTTTAATACCAAGCCCGCTAGGATCGATCAAGAGAGAGCTCAATATACAATTTCAACAATTAGCAAATAACAGATGGAAAAATATATGACATAAATATAACTAAACAGATATAGCCATTTTATGACAAGAAAAGAACAACCGACTTATTAAATAGGTCCAGGAAAAGTATCTACAGACTAACTGTTATCATGACAGGTCATTGGCCATTTGGAGAACATGTGTCTAAAGTGGGAATAAAGAAAACAATTTTCACTTTCTCTGTGAATGCTCAGCCGTCTCGCAGATCCGACACAGAACACTTGAAGGCCACCAAGCACCACACATCGAATGGGTATCTACAAAAAGCATATCGGACGTTAGTAGCTTCATCGAAACCTGAAAATAGTTTGAACGAGAAGGTGAAACGTGATAGCAATAATACAAAAGTCTACGCCTTGTGCATTCAAATGGCACGGCTAGTGATAAATGAGCCCGAAATCCAGTTCTCAAAACACTTTTCACAAGCACGCTGGTTGAGATGGCTTTCACTTCCTTCAGCGTATTTTGTTCTATCTCTTCGATCGACTGAAAACGGGTTCCATTATGATGATTCTTGACTTATTAACATGTAAAACTCATGCTCTTCAGCAGTTATACTCCTTTCCAGACTGTCGGAATTAGCACGATCAAGCTTGTAAAAAAAGACCGGTTGACGGTACCCTTATTAAAAAAAAAGCAGCTTTATTGAGACGAGTCGAGAAAAGGCCATATCATTAACTTATTTTTTTAAATATTTTCATCAGTTGAAGAGGTCGAAGGTCGTCCAAAACGAGGCATATCTTCACCGATCTCTTTATCGTCTTTGAAGGCTTTGTACCGCTTGTAGACTTGTGGTTTTAACAAAGCTGAATCGCTGTTAGTCTTTTCCAAGATTCGCAGGGATTCCGCACACGAAATTTGGTTAGAAATACAAAACTTCAGACAAATTCTTTGTTTGATATTATTATCCATTGTAAAATCGAACTGTACTACCGATATGTATCGGCTTAAGCAGCTGCTGTAAACGGGGAACCCGGGAATTTAATTAAAATTTCCGGGTACTTTTTTGTCACAATATATGAGTATATATACCGATGTACTATGTAGTTCTATATCATTAACTTTATAAGCACAAGAACAAAAATTGAAGTTTATATGCTTAGAAATACTATCCCCCTTTGTCTTTCTTCGTATTATATATGCAAATCCATTTCGAAAAAATGCCTTCTTAATTAAAATTGACTCAATGAATTGATTAACATTGTTGTAAATTGGAAAATTACTATTTCATTTCGAAACCATAAAATTGCATACAAGTCCATTGTTCCATTCAGTTCAGTGTTAGCCGTGCTTTGGAACGGCAAAAATTGTTTGAGAAGATACCTACAAGAAACAGCAGTGGTACACAGTTATATCGGGATAAGGAATTCCATATAACACATTGGGATTAACAGTGCAAAAGGATAATTGTGCAAAGTGAAAAAAGAAAATGTCGGCTGCCACGGAAACAGTGCAAGAGGCCATTACACAGGCATCGGCCAGCGGTGGCTTGGGTGCCTTGTGGACCTCATTGATTGGTGTGGTGGTGATTGCAGCCTTGTACGAGTACTGGCGTCGCAGCTCGCGTGAATATCGCATGACCAAGAATATACCCAGTCCGCCAGAGGTACCCGTTTTGGGTAATGCGCATTTGGTGTTCGGCTGTTCGAATGCAGGTGGGTAACTGGAAAGCTTTTGCAAATAATTCACTACGTTTCGAAAACTATAACTTTTTAAATGCTCGTCTTTCCCATTTGCAGAGGTTGTGGCCAAGGGTAATGCCTACTTGGAACAGTTAGGTGAAACATTGCGTGCTACGTTAGGTCATGTGCTGGTGATATTCCTCACCAACCCCAATGATATTGAGATCATTTTGAGCAGCAATAATCATTTGGATAAATCGGAAGAGTACCGTTACTTTAAACCATGGTTCGGTGATGGTTTGCTTATTAGCAGCGGCAGTCACTGGCGTCACCATCGCAAAATGATTGCGCCGACATTCCATCAGAGCATTTTGAAGAGTTTCGTACCAACTTTTGTGCAACACTCCAAAAATGTTGTGGAACGCATGGCTAAGGAGGTGGGTAAAGAATTCGACATACACGATTATATGTCACAAACAACTGTGGAGATTTTGCTCAGCACCGCTATGGGTGTGAAGAAGGTACCGGAAGGTAATAAGAGTTTCGAGTATGCCAAGGCCGTCGTAGATATGTGCGATATCATACACAAGCGACAAGTGAAAGTGTTGTATCGTTTGGATTCCATCTACAACATGACGAAAATGCGTCAAAAGGGCGATAAGATGATGAACATTATCTTGGGCATGACCAAGCGTGTCGTTATGGATCGCAAGGCAAACTACAATGCGGAGGGTAATGCTATTGTTGAAGAGATCGATGATTCGGCAAAGAAAGCAGCCGCTAAGAAGGTCGGTGGACTGCGTGACGATTTGGATGATATCGATGAGAATGATGTGGGCGCTAAACGTCGCCTAGCGCTGTTGGACGCTATGGTAGAAATGGCTAAGAACCCCGAGATCGAGTGGAACGAGAAAGATATTATGGATGAGGTGAACACAATTATGTTTGAGGTAAATTGCCGTCGGTTTGTGTATATTAAAAAACGATTTTGCTAAAAATTTCGCCTTTAACCATTATAGGGACACGATACCACTTCCGCGGGTTCTAGTTTCGCGCTCTGCATGATGGGCATGCACAAAGATGTGCAAGAGAAGGTCTTAGCAGAGCAAAAAGCTATCTTTGGTGATAATTTCTTGCGTGACTGCACCTTCAACGATACCATGGAGATGAAATATTTGGAACGTGTCATTATGGAAACGCTACGTATGTACCCACCAGTGCCGTTGATTGCGCGTCGCGTCGACAGCGATGTGAAATTGGCATCTGGGCCGTATGTTGTGCCAAAGGGCACCACTGTGGTGGTACTGCAATATCGCGTACACCGACGTCCCGACATTTATGCCAATCCTGACAAGTTCGATCCCGACAACTTCTTGCCCGAACGCATGGCCAAACGTCACTATTACAGTTTCATTCCATTCAGCGCCGGTCCACGTAGTTGTGTTGGTCGTAAGTATGCCATGTTGAAGCTGAAGGTGTTGCTCTCCACCATCATTCGTAATTACACGATACACTGCAATGAGACCGAGGCCGATTGGAAGTTGCAAGCCGATATTATTTTGAAACTGGAAAATGGTTTCAATGTAGTGCTGCAGAAACGTCAACCGGTTGTGGCGTAAATGGGTGCTGAAGAATTCTCATTTCTTTACTTCTTCTTAATTTTTGTTCTAATACCTATGACGAATTAAATTATAATTAGCTTTGTAAGAGTGCACATATTTTTGCGATTATTTTAAGTAGTTCACCTTCCGAGAGAAATATATTTTCAGATAAGCCAAACTTTTTGAGAACCGAGACAGCGTAACGGTCGTGAGGAAACGTTAGGAAATGAAGCCAATTGTGATCGATGAAATTAAACGATTTTTTTTAAGTGGAGAAGGCTTATCAAATTTGCCCTAAATATTTTTAATCAAAACAGATTCCCAAATTAACTAACTAACCCTAGTGATAAGTGTGGAGAGTCAAAACTAACCAAAAACAAGTAGTATAATAAAAAGCAAGCGCAGTAGAAAGCTGAAAAAATGGAAATTTATTTCGCGTTTCATTTACATTTGCGCTTTGTCGCACTTGTTGATTGATTTCCAAATCAGATCACAGAATGTATAAAATATAAAGCAATCGCATATTTATAAGCAATTCCCTGGTGTGGAACTTAGAACCCGCAAGACTTGTAGGTCGCCTATAATATAGGGAGCGTTTGTTATGCCATTTTATGTCTTTTATTATGAAAGCGTCATTCACAGCAGATATGTAAGAACATCGTAAGAATAACTAGAGGATCTGCTAATAAAAGAATTACACTCACTAAAGAAATAACTCACTCTCAGTCTTCGGTGCGACAGAGTGATTGAAAAAGATGGGCTAGCGAACTCGCTCGACGAAATGTGAGTAGGGGAACTCCACAAGGTGCAGGTCTCTCTCCTCTTCTATGGATCTTGGTCGTTAAAGACCAGTTTAAAAATCTTGAGGATCGTGGCAGCAATCTGTCTATGCAGACGATGTACAAGGTGTAAATTGGACTTTTAGAATCTAGCGCTTCTTTGTGACACCATCTATATGTCGATACAAAAACTTCCTTTACAATATTGTGATTGGACTAAACGTGGTGTTTAAAATTTGATTAGGAAACGACACGACAGAGTTTTGAATGGAACGTACCGGACGAGGTGAAACCCAATAACTCGCCCATGAAGGAGTCAACAGTAAAGCCAATGTTGATTTGTTTTTATGATTCCAAGGGTATTGTAAGCAAAGAGTTTGTTCCACTTGGCCAAAACGTTAATCTGGTATTCTACGTACGGCGTTTGGTGCGCCGTATTCGACGTGTTCGGCCCGAATATCGCGAAGATGAAAGTTGGCGTTTGTTTCACGATAATGCGGCGTCTCATCGATGGAGGCTTGTGACCGATTATTTGATCAAAAATCACATTTTAACCATTAACCACTCTCCGTAATCACCTGATATGGCTCCGTGCGACTTCTTCCTTTTCGGAAAAATACATTTGCCCATGAAAGAAAAGCGTTATGCAAGCGTAGAGGACATTCAAAAGGCTTGCACCGGCATACTGGCGGCCATGTCCTTATAGCTTTTCATATAGAAAGTAACAACATTTTTTGCTATAGAAATCAAAAAGATAAGTAGTTGAAATAGGAAAAGTAATGGACATAGCGATATTCAGAACCAGGTATGAATACCTTCTAGATATAAATAAAAACAATTTTAGTAGCGGAGAATTATACTATATCAATCTATAGCAACGGATCTTAAATGCATTACAGAGTGTATACTTCGCGAAATTTGATATCTTTCCCTCCATACATCTAGCAAAGAATTTGGAGGTATATACATACGTTAGAAATGCCATAGAGATAAGCGAAATAATTTGAACACTAACTGACTATCTTAGCACAAATTACCAAAACTTCACAGATTACTCTACAAATAGCTGTCTTTAGATCAAATTTTAAGAATTGCACAGATATAATTATATAATGTCAATTGTGAACCACTCTTTATTTCAAGTGGTCTGCTATTCTTAATATACGGAGATATGAATCTTAAGCAGTGTTCAATGCAGTTTTCTAATCTTATTATTTATTATTATTTGGCCATTATTTGGCGAAAACTGCGAACTTTATTCTGGATGAGTAGATATTAAGATATAGAAAAACGCGAGATTTTGGTCGTGTTGATGAACTGGTTTTTATGTCGTTTAAATTGGGGATATTAAAATATATTCGGCTTGTAACTGTTCATATGAATTTTAACCCATTAATACTATTGAAATAATCGCAATACAAGGTGCTTTCCAAAGTAAACTCGACCTTTTGAATTTAGCGTCCCCTGGTGGCGCCATCTATATGTCGATTGATGCCTTGGAATCTGCTATCTTTATCGATTGTCTAGTGAGAATTTCATGACATTTCAATGATTGAAACTGAAGTTATTGCCTTTTAAGTGTCAGTATGTTTGTGTTATCGGTGCGAAAGTGAGCTTCGAACAAAGAGCCAACATTAAATTTTCTTTTAAAATTGTTAAAACTTTTACCGAAACATTGATGAAACAAGTTTATGGTAATGATTGCCTTTCCCGTAGCAGAGTGCACGAGTGGTTTCTATGTTTTCAAAGTGGTCGTGAGGACATAAATGACGATCAACATGTGGGCCAATCAAAATCCGTGATCACCGGAAATTCCATCGAAACTGTGCTTGAATTCATCAAAAATCAGCCGAAATCAGGGTTGAAATTCATGGAAATGGACATCTCCAAAACATCGATTTATGGCATTTTGACCGAACATTTGGGCTTACGAAAGGTGTGTGCACGGTTTGTTTTGCACAAATTGACTGACGACCAAAAATTGCTCAGATCGTTGACCGATTATTTGACCAAAAATCACATTTTAACCATTAAGCACTTCCCGTACCGATTTGGCTTCTTCTTTTCGGAAAAATGCATTTGCTCATGAGAGGAAAGCGTTATGCAGACGTAAAGGCCATTCAGAACGCTTGCACCGGCATACTGGCAGCCATACCGGCCAATGAACTAAAACAATCGTTCGACATGCTTTTGGACCGTGCAAAAAGCTGTATTGAAGCAGAAGGGGACTATTTTGAATAAAATAAATTTATTTTGCCGCAAAAATCATTTGTTCTGCTTTTTTTTAAGTCATATTTACTTTGGAACGCACCTTGCAGTAGTTATGTTTAAAGGAAAGTGCCTGAGTATCTCAGCGTCGTAACAAATAAGAGACATCCGTCTGCAACCGGCGGATGCAGTGTAATATGTATGGCTCATCCTGGATAGGAAGCTGTCATGGAAGCCAAATATCGAAGAGAGAGAGCAAAAAGGCATCGATTGACTTATGCTGCTGTAGAAGAGCCATTATGTTCTATGGAGTATTTTTGTGTTGGAGGGCTCTAGAAAGACCACACTGCAAGTAAACTCAAGTTCAAGTGTGCGGTTTAGTTCAGAGAAGCGACAATTCACACAGATAGAAGAGACAGTGCGTTTAGGGTTGTTCGAAGACTGCCTAACCTCGCTAATAAAGCAACGAGTGTATTTGTGATAATACTGCCTGCCAGGCCACAGCGCAATCAATAGTAAAGCTAATGAGCTAGCAAGAAAAGGCACCCTAGTAATCGGTAGAATGGGAATGGATTGGTGCTCCCGTATTCTCTTGTGTTCTGCTACTAGATAGCTGGGCTTAGCGGAAGCTTGGCCAGCGAAGGGCCACCATCGATACATTCGATGTTGTGAAAGCCTTTTGGCTAAATATCGATCGCAAGAGATCTAGTGATCTTTTTGCTCTCTGTAAGGCTAGCCTGTCCCTCGTTTTGGGGCTTTTCACAGGCCATTGCACTATTGGCGTCCATGTTGTTAACCTGGGAACCTTACCAGACGCCATCTGCAAAAGTTATATGGAAAAATATGAGAAAAAACTCAACACTTCATTCTTATCTGCACCGCGTTTGGGAAGTCAAGGCTTAGACACTTGGAAACGCATACTTTCAAACATCTCACCGAAATGGCGGCACTTCTTCTTTTCTATGGCTTCAGAAAGGACTACATACAGCAATATGCGATCTTTGATCAGCCATCTAAATTCAAAATAGTATTCTATATTTATGACAAAAAGTCAAACTTTAACTTATAGAACCAAAAGAGTAACAGACGAAAAAAACATTACAATCAGTATGATTGACCCCCGAAATAAATAGGCTCAGTTTACGATAGTGTAATGAAATGCTGAAAAATTGTATAATACATTTTTGCGAGAAATTAAGCTTTTCTAATATGATCATTAAATAGTGAGAGGAGAAATCTGTGTCTTTCAACACTGAGGATTCAAGTTTTGGGACTCATCTAAATTTTAGCTCTCGGCAGCTCAGTGTTCCAGATATTTTCAGGAGTGAGGTCTTTTTTGGAGGATACTCACAAGAGAACACATCTCTATCTTTTAAAGCTTATCATTCTCTAATTAGATAGAATTACAATAAAGTGATGAAGAAATATTAAAGTATTTGTTAATGTCAATATTTAGTAAGGACTAAAATAACTAAAGAAGCATAGGTATATGTGGAAAGGTAAGCAAAATTTTTAATATACCATGAAAATCACTCTGAAGAAAATTGGATTACTATTACTCTTTTTCGGTCGGGTCTCCACATTACTGACTTGAATAAACTCTATATTTATACTAGCGTTAGCTTCAATTCCCTTTAACCCACTATTGTTTGGTAGCATTAAATGTCAAGTTTTATTATGCACTTTTATAATGGATTTCTCTTCATACACCCTTATACTTATTTCCTAATTTTCAGAAATATTTAATGTTTAAGCGTTAGCGATTTCATTTCCTTTAGTAACCGATTGCTAATAGGTCTGAACCACCCTATTAAGTATACTCTGTTTAAGTTATAGCAGATATCACAGGTAGATGGCGCTTAGAACAAATGAGAAACAGAATATTGAAAGTAATTAATATATCAACATACAAGAAATACAATTTTCTATATCCAATATTTTTAGGCTCTTCAAGTGTTTTGCGTCAAATTTCGTTTCCTGATGGGGGTCCACTTCTGGCTCAATGGGTATGTAAATAAGCATTTCTGTGAAGAGCAACCTGAAGAGATTCAAGAGCTGGCATTTCATCGAGAAAATGAACGAAGCCGTCGTAACCGTCAATGGAGACCATTATCCCGCCCTGATAACCGACTATTTGATACCTGAAATTGAAGCTCGAGATTTCGGCGATATTTGGTTTCAACAAGAGGGAGCGAGATTTGGTTTCTACACATCGCTTCAATCAATGAATTTATTGAGTAAACACTTCGGTGAGCAGATAATTTCGCGTTTTGGGTTGGTCGATTGACCACCAAGATCGTGTGATATCACACTGTTAGATTTTTCCCGACGGCATATGTAAAGTGTAAAGTTTATGCGGACAATCCGGCTTCGATTCAGGCCTTGACGCAAAACACCACGCGTGTCATTCGCCAGTTACCAGTCGAAATGCTCGAACGACTTATCGAAAATTGGACTCAATGGATGCACCATCTGAGAGGTAGCCGAGCCAAAAATTTGAAGGAGATAATTAAAAAAAAAAAAAATAAATAAAGGTGAAAGAATGTTATTTCGAACGATAATAAACATTCCCAATAAAATTTGAAGGAAGCGTCGAATTGAATTATCGTTTATATATTTTATGATCTCTATGGTCTTCAACGTTTGATTAATAAGGGTATTATTCAGGGTATAACAAGGCTTCTAATCTAGTACTAGCGCACTGGCAGTCCACCGCTAAACCACAACGACCCGACATGAGCTATCACAAAAGGCACTAAACCTCATGACATACTTATTAAGCATTGCAAATTTTTGCAATCAAAAAATACGTCATTCGGAGTGCGTATGCAAAAAAAAAAAAAAAAAAAAAAAAAAAAAAAAAAAAAAAAAAAAAAAAAAAAAAAAAAAAAAAAAAAAAAAAAAAAAAAAAAAACTTTGAAACAAATATATACATATATATACATTGTGGAGCTGCACATAATGTCCATATTTGTGTTTGCAAATCGTTTACCTTCAAATAGGCTATTTTTATAAGCGAAGAGACTTCACCCAAAATCAATATGCATTTACGTTGTCACACTTGCTCAGCCGCTGGAAACATTCTAGATGCATTAAAAGTGTAGCAATATTAAGTCTAGGCAAACAGTTCTTTGCAGCAGAAGCAGAAGTGCAGTAGCTAAGCGTACTATGGACTACACAAACGCAACCGCAACACAACATATTACCGGAGCAAAGGCGTACATCCTGACGAGTCCTTTCTATATAAGTTTGATCGGTGCATTGCTGGCATTAGCGCTCTATGATATTTGGTTTCGTAATACCGATGCTTATAAGAAGCTGAAAGGTATACCGGGACCGCCGGTGCTGCCCTTGATTGGCAATGCACATTTAATATTGGGCCTTACGCCCGCAGGTGAGTGATAAGTTTGAGCGTTTAATTGAAGCGAAAGATATAAATACATTTCATTTCTTTCATCAACAGAAATGGTGCAGAAAGCAATACAATACTTCCATTACTATGGCGAGACCATTAGCGGTTGCTTCTTCAATTTGATGGTAGTCTTTCTGACAAATCCCGCCGACTTTGAAATCATACTCAACAGCTCCGTACATTTGGAAAAGTCCAATGAGTATAGATTCTTTCAGCCTTGGTTCGGTAATGGTCTACTCATCAGCAAGGGCGATCATTGGCGCCTACATCGCAAAATGATAGCGCCCACCTTTCATCAGAGCATATTGAAGAGCTTTGTGCCGGCATTTGTGCAGCACTCGAAAAAAATCGCCAATCGATTAGAGGCAAAATACTTGGGACGTGAGTTCGATGTGCACGAGCATATGAGTCAGACTACGGTGGAGATACTGCTTAGCACTGCGATGGGCATGAGACAGTTACCCGCTGGCAGGGAATGTGCTCGCTATGCAGAGGCAGTGCTAGAAATGTGCGATATCATACAGAAACGCCAGGTCAAGGCGCATTATCGTTTCGATTTCGTTTATCAATGGACGCAACTGCGCAAGCGTTGTGATAAAATGATGAGCATTATTTTAGCATTAACGAGGCGTGTCATCGCAGAGCGGCGTGAACTTTTCAATTTGGAAACAGATGGCGTATTGGATCAACAGGATGAGCTAAATGAGCGCGCAAATGGTAGGGAGAAGGAAGGACTGCGTGACGATTTGGATGAAATCGATGAAGAGAGTGATGTGGGTAAGATTGATGGCAATTAAGAAATGTACCGCATATATTAATGAAAATGTTAGCTAATAATACAATTGCTAGAGAAAGCTGTAACTAATTTATTATATTTTTATAATTTGTTGTTTTCGTACAGGTGCTAAACGTCGTTTGGCTTTCTTAGATGCGATGGTGGAGATGACAAAGAATCCGGATATTGCGTGGACAGAGAAGGATGTGATGGATGAAGTGAATACGATTATGTTTGAGGTATGATTTGGGTGTTTATATTTGGAAGATGGATAGATAAAGGTGACGGAAATACATTTTTATTATCGTTTGTATAACATCATACAATTAGCAAGAAGTTGTGAGTTTATTTATAGAAAACTATGAAATCTTGAGACGAATATGCCATCTGATCAAATTTGAACCGGATCGGTGTTTCACAAAGTCTTTCTATCAAGCCAGTTTAGTTTGCAATGAAATTATTTACATTTGTGTTTTACTAGAATTAAGTTTAATAGAACTATTAAAATTTTAGCAGAAGGTGAATCAGGCTCTCCATCGCTTCATATTTTCGCTACTAGAAATGTTTTTGTCATCTCTCTCGTTGAATCTGAAAGAACGATTTCAATGTTATACGAAATGTGGTCACGAAAATATATATAAGAAATATCGGTATATACAGGATTTGTCCGGTAAGTAATAGGACTGATTTCCTTCCACCGCTGCTGGATTCGGTAAAGGGCGTTCCTAGCTAACGAACTGGTCGGCTGGTCAATTTTCTCCGAGTACCTGGAGAGTCAAGACAAACATTTTCGAGCGATGTGTTTCTGCGAGTGGCGCAAGCCGAAAATGCAGAGTTCGTTAGAGCAAAGGTACGCGGTTAAATTCTGTGTGAAACTCGGTAAATCTGCAACAGAGACGTTTGATACAATCAAGCAAGCTTACCTAGATGTTGCCTTAGCAAGAAATGGTGTGTTTCGGTGGCACCGGGTCTTTTTGGAGGGGCCGGGAAAAGGTCGCTAATAAAGCCCGTGATGGGCCCAAAAAAGGGAAGAATGGGCAAATTCAAAGTGAAAACGATCGAACACATCGCCTTTCTTGTGAACAGCTACTTAATCGAGGCCGGCAGGTGTGGTCCCCCGGACTTTTTCGTTTCCTTGCCTATAAAGGCGGATGAAAGACAAGCTTTTTCAGACAACAGAGGGGATCAAAGCAGCATGCACCTCAGCTCTCAAGGCTATTTCGGAGTGTGCCTTCCGTGACGCCTTCAATGCTTGGAACTCGCGCTTGCAGCGCTGAAGGAGCCTATTTTGAAAGCTTTTAAAGAATTGCAACGATTGGTTCAATACATTTTTTTAAATCGGGCTGAGCCGGAGAAACCCTGTACATATATTTACATTCAGAGAAGAAGAGAGGGGACATCGGCGCCAAAAACTCTCGGGCGCAGTGTGCTCAGTATGCTCCAGTGCTCTGCAACAATTTTTTGCAAATTTTTCTCGGAAAATTCACCACAATTCTATCCGAGCCATGGGTTTCCTTCTATAACCTTATATATAATAGTCTAATTCTTCCCATTATAGTATTTATTTAAAAATTATAACCAATGCTTGCTTCCCATCAACTCATTGTTTCTCATTCGCCTCCAACAGGGTCACGACACCACCTCAGCCGGTTCCAGTTTTGTGCTATCGCTGCTCGGTATACATAAAGATGTGCAAGCACGAGTTTACGAGGAGCAAAAACAAATATTCGCCGATGACCTGGGGCGTGATTGCACCTTTGCCGATACACTGGAAATGCAGTATTTGGAACGGGTGATTAAAGAAACGCTACGTCTCTACCCACCAGTACCGGTAATCGGGCGTAAAGTTAATGAAGATGTACGACTTGCATCCGGCCCATACACAATACCGAAGGGTACGACAGTTGTGCTGGCCAACTATGCTGTGCATCGGCGTCCCGATTGCTATGAGAATCCGGACAAATTCGATCCGGATAACTTTTTGCCGGAAAAAGTATCGAAACGCCATTACTACAGTTATGTGCCGTTCAGTGCGGGTCCACGCAGTTGTGTAGGACGTAAATATGCCATGTTAATGTTGAAAGTTTTACTCTCGACGTTGGTGCGTAAATTTGAAATACACTCGAATGTGGATGAGAAACAATTTGTATTGCAAGGTGATATCATTTTGAAATTGGCTAATGGTTTCAAGGTTGTGCTGACCAGACGTGAGGTGTGAGGAGCGCCGCTAAACGGAATGTTTTAATTTATTGCCAACTTTATAAATAATCATGTCAACCTTAGTTGTCTTTGAATTGTATATAAATATGGTTTGCATTTTTTAGTGGTCTATACGCAATTGTTGTTTTTGTATATATGTATGTATAGTTTCATTTGTATTTCACATAAATATTTATTCTGCAAATATTAGCATGAAGAAAATTGAATATGTTTGCAATAAACACGTTTGTATGTAAGTATGTATGTGGGCATATGAAATGAAAATGAAATGAATGGCTGTGAACCTGAGCGCTCATATGAGAGAGCTGGAAGATGGGCGCGGACGATTTCCGGCAACATATCGTCTTAATGATCAACGGTATTAAATTACAACGAGGCATTCACGACGAGTTCGACTCGCATTTCACGCTTACAGCCCGCGCAAACGCGCAGGCTCAGACTGAGGTGAGAAAATTTTCAAACCGCTCGAACAGGTAGTTTGGAAAATTCCATTATTTTGCAAAGGCTGAGATGGAAACCAACGCTAATGGCATTAGTATTATCGGTAGCCAAGGATGAAAATGAAATGTATGCGCACTTGCAGCCAGACATATTGGTACTCCTCAGTTGCCATCATTTTGGGGGTGATAAGTGTGTCTGTATGTATGCGTTTGTTTACACCGGCAAAACGAATGTGTAAATCGGCGTTGCGAATCGCGTTGGTGTGTATTATCGACAGATTATCGACAATTCGGCAAAGCGATGAAAATCGAATTTCCAATTTCGCAAGCCTTTCATTAATCTTGTTAAGACGGACGGAAGTAGGCAGATATTTAATTTTTACAATATAAATAAACGCGTATGTGTGTAGTATTATTTTTTATATTAAATATATATCTGAATATGTACACATTTGATTAGATTAAAAAACCTTTGGCTCATCGGCTATTATTGGGAAAGGAAAGGATTTCCGCAACACAATCCTTTTGCAATTTCACTGTTTCCCACTTTTACATGTCTTCTCGTCTCACTTTGAGGTATGTGTGCATATAGACACACATATCTCACATTTGTGAAAGTATTGTCGCAGCGAGAAACTACTTTCCTTGGTAGAAAGTGAAAATCTTTGATTGCTTATTTTTTTTTCACCTCCATTTTTTATACCGCGCGCGTATTCGAATGTATATGTCAAGGCAAATCTATACGTTGCACTCAATCCTTTGATTTGTGTAGTCCGTTATTCGTGAAGAATAGTACTTCCGTGACATGCAATTGCGTATTTACACTTAAGATTTGTAGCAGGAATTAGATTTCGCAAGAAGGGTAAGGCAAGCTGTCAGAAGAGGAGATGTGAATTATCACAAGACTAAATTATAAATGCAATCAGTATTAGTTTCATATCATATCAGAGGATCAGAGGTTATTTCCGGATTCGATTGTTTTGCACATCGAAAGAAAAATATTTAATAGACAGAAATTCGAAATAGTTCCCAAAGCTTAATTCATTTTGCAGTTGAAGGGGTGTGCCAGCATCGCAACAGTTATAATAGGTACCTGCCTATAGCATTGTGCTTACAAAAATATAAAGAGCACAAAATTGGTCCCAAAACATTTGTAAGCTTTAAGCAAAACTTTTATAATTCTTCGTTTGGATTAAGGAAGACGATAGAGTTTGATACTTTCAATGGTGAAAGATGGAAATAGTAGTGCGCTAATTGTAAAATCATCAAATAGATTTTGTATTGAAAACAGGCCTAATGAAAAACTAGTTTGGCAACAGATATTACACTTCGGCAATGCAATTTCAGCTCTGCCGGTATTAGTAGCTATCTATGATAGTATGCATACTTCTGGAAACACTAATACTACAAATGAAAAGTGCGTAATTAGTTAAAATCGGGAGGTTAACCCAGAGCATATTAAAATTATGGAGGGAACACTTCTCCAGTTTACTGAATGACAGTGAAAGCAAAAGACCAGAATATAGTGAATCCGATTCCCCAATCGATGACGAGGGAGCGGAAAGGAGACCCCACAATCTGCGCCAACTACCATGGGTTAAAACCCCTCAACATCGCATATAAGGTTTTATAGAGCGTATTGTGTGAAAGATGAAGGCCCACCGTCAACAAACTGATTAGACCTTATCAGTGTGGCTTTATATCTGGCAAATGAACATCTCATCACATAATCACCATGCGTCAAATCTTGGAAAAGACTCGTAACAGGACACACGCCACTTCTTTGACGATTTTAAAGCCACCTTCGACAGCAGGAAAAGGTAAACTGTGTGTGTTAACTGACGTTGAGTAAAATAAAAAACTCCGTCATGATCGCGAAGGTCCTCTACGAGCCGTTCGATAGCAAACGAGATTTCAGGTAGGGCCACTCCCTATCATGCGACTTCTTCAATTTACTGCTGGATAAGGAAGCGAAGCAAATGGATCTGGTAGTAAAAGAGGGCAAGACGAATATCTCCTATCATCAAACAAACAGATACTCGTATATGACGACATTGAAAGGGTTCAGCGAATTAAGAGAAAGCGGCTACGCTGTCGAGGTCATGTCGTCCGAGTGGAAGAAAATATTTCAGCTTTGAGAGTATTCGACGCAGTACACGCCGAGAGAAACAGAGGAAGACGTAGACTTAGTTTCAAAGAACTGGTGGAGACCTGGCTACACTTGGAATATCCAATTGGTGCCAAACACCAATCAAGAAGGAAACCATTGAAAATTAAATACTACTACATCGGTTGCTTTAATATATAATGCGGAACCTCAGAGACGTCGTAAAATGTATCCCGTAGACACTTTTGTTCCTGTACAGCAGAATATCGAAGAAGACATGAATGAGTTCATCCAACATAGTGCGCAATAATTTTAGTAATATTTTGCAAAGTATCTACAAGCCTGTGTTGAGACGCCGTTACATCAAATCATTAGTTCATATTTCTCCGAAACTGAATCCAACCATAACATTATATTCACTTGAGGTCAGGATTAATGACTTTTTCGTATCTAAATTGGAGGCTCTTGATGTGAACAACCCTTGGTTTCAGCAGCATATGGCTTAATGCCATACAGCCAATCAAATAATCAATTTATTGAAGAAAACTTTAGGTCAGTGTATTATTCTGCGTAGTCTGCTTGGGATGTTCCATCCAAAAACATGCGGTTTAACATCGCTGGACTATTTTTTGTGGGGTTATAAGAAATAGTTTGACCAAACAGTTAAGGCGGAGAGAATGAATGCCTTGTAAGAGAATTATTATTAACATATGGTCCCAATTGCTGCAAAACGTGGTCGAAAATTGTGGTCACTTGTCCGAACATAATGTCAAATACTTAAATAAAATATTTTGAGCTATATTCTTGGTAATGCTATTAAATTGTACATATTTTATTCCTTATTTAACACCTCATGTCTAAAAAACACAGTTTATATCGTTAGTTGGTAGATATGAAATACTTTTTTCTTTAACAGCTACGAACGCACGTTTCAACACACTATTTCAGATATGTAAGCATTGAACCCAAATAATTTTAGATCACAAATCTGAAATGAATATCTAAGAACACCAATAAGAATTTTTCGAATTTTTAGCTGAGCCAACCATTTTGGTTATCAAAGCATAGTTTTAAATCTTAATTGACACAGAAAAAAGGATGCTCTTATTCATACAACCAATAGAATGTGTTGAAAGGCTGTGCAAACTCTTCATAAATAAAACGTTACAAGTAGCTGATCAAAATCCATCATTCAGTGGCACTTAAATCAATCAATCAACAATATTTTCAAACGTTTTGCGCCACCACTTGAAGTTGTCAGCAAGGCGTTAAAGGATTACGGAATGAGATCTATCAACAAATTTCGCTACAAAAAAAGTAACACACACAATATAGTATCCTTAAGTGCTTCTAGACATAAGAGGTAGAACTTTCATTTAGGATATAAGTAAATAAGTAAACATTCTCTGAAATTTTGATAAAAATATAATTTGCGTTCGGGTAAAAGATTTTCAGTTGCTAAAGATGATTATCAAAACAATGCGTAACTGTATTTTCTTTTTACCCATAACTAAACTATGTGATTTGTGTAGAAGTGCGAATTGAAATGAAGAATCGGTTAGTTTTTCTATTACTCTACTGGGATTTAATTGTCAAACTATTCGCTACTGAGTTAGTCACATTGAAATCGCCAGAAACTACAAAGCCGATGGCTTGAAAGAGAGGGCACCGTACCCACAAATTCATTCCATTGAAAGCTTTTTGGCTCTATGATGACCTCTTACGTTCTAGCGCTGGGCCTATAGACTTCCAATGTGCTCGACGAGCGCCTGTCAACAATTAAAACTTTTGCGACTTCCAGATTCCTCTGACTCACTTAGAAAAGTCGCTGGAATAGAAGATACTGGGTAAGCTCAACACGTTTCGTCGATCTATAGGATCTGACGACCCACTTTTAGGAAAGTACGAATATCTGTCCAAGTAAGATCTATCGCTTAGGATCAACCCAACGATCTAATCTAAATTAACCTGTTACTGAGTTGTAGTGCTCAATATATAACATAAGAAATCTCTTTGTTTGCAATAAACAGTGTGAAACGTGGTCCGGATGAAAGGTGATGTCTCTTCAAAATTATGAAGAATTACACTCTACAGCTGGAAGCACTGGTTGATCGAAAATCAAAATATCAAATACATTATAGGACAATAATAGTCTGGAAACAGACAAACAGATTTGGAAACCACACGTTTTTTTTTTAACAAGTAGCGCTTGCTTTCGGCAAAAAAAAAAAAAAAAAAAAAAAATATAAGACACTGTCAGATAACCTCTCTATCGACTATCTTGACTGATAACAATAGATCATATGTTAGATCCATAGAAATATTAAGTATATTANTTAAAAATATCTTTAGCTTTTATATGTGATTTAGCGGTCTCTTATACACATCTAGTAACCTCTCTATCGACTATCTTGACTGATAACAATAGATCATATGTTAGATCCATAGAAATATTAAGTATATTATTTTTATGGATATTTTTGGGAAAGCAAAGTATACTCGTATGTAGACAATATGACTAAATAACAAGAAAGTGGCAAAGATAGCATAATAAATAATAATATGACTTAC